AATTTATTAAGATAGAAGTATCACATCTCATCCCCCAACTTCAACTCCGCAAACTGAAGAGCATTTGAAATGGAGACACCAAGAAAAAAATTGATCAGTCAACAATACATAGAGGTGGGAAGGAAGCTACCTGTATTGAGCGGCTACTCTGTGTCAGGTACTGTGCTAGGTACTTCATATACTAACATAGAAATGTATTTAATCCTCTCAATATCCCTTCAAAGGAGGTATTACTTTATATTTCAAAGTAAGTATTGCTACTCCCATTTCACAGATGAAGAAACTGAGGCTCAAAAGTGTTAGGGGCCTGAAGTCACATAGCTGAAAAGTTTTTCACAGCATCACATGTTTCAAATAAATGTTGCAGACATTGCATGTCTAAGTTCTTCAGGGAAGGGAGACATACAGAGGGCCTAGTATAAGAGAAAGGCTTCAAGAAAGATCCGAGGTTCTAGGAGCAGAGCCTTGAAAAGTGAATGGAACTTAGGTAGAAGAAGAAGTAGAAGGATATTCCAGGTGTGTGGGAAGGAGGCAGCGCCTGGAGAAAGCACCACTCAGAAGGGTGCGTGTGCTGGAAGGCCAGAGGTGGTCCTACCTTGTCTGCCCCTGGGGGTTTGGATAACAAATTGAAAAGGTATCATGGACTCAGTGACGGAGGCCTTTAGCTACCAGACTCCTAAGTGAAGCATTTCTGCCTATTATCCCCCGGGCTTCATAGGATCACTTCCTTGGTCATTCCCTCCAGCCGTGCAGGGCAGTGGGAAGACTATGCCCCAGGGAGCTTGCCACTCCCTAGCTTTGTGAGGTTCAGGTAAGTTCCTTTGGCTTCCTGACTCTATTTCTTCATTTGCAAATGGAATTTTGTGACAATTTATCACAAGAGATAACACCCGTTGAGCATCCAGCTCTGCTGAATGTGAGTTGCTCCCACTGTAGTCCTTTAACACCACCCCCCACCTCTCGGCCTGGCCCAAGTTCTACAAAGTCTCCACAGACAACTCATGGGGGGAGCCAGTTCTTGGAAGAAAGGGAAGATCACCTCCCACTTCCTGCACATTCTATTCCTGCTTATGCATTCTGATGTCCTGCTTGCTTTTTTAGGCTCTAAGTGCTATCCTGCTGACTCACTTCCGACTTCTCGTTCATCATGCTCAGCTCCTGAAAATGGAACAGAATCGAAAGGGCCGGATATTGTACTGTCTGGTGATGTGTTTAAGGGGAATTGGGTGTCTGTCAGGCCAGACCCACATGGATGGAATGCTGGGGACATGAACCGAGTAGTGCCCAAAGTTGTATTTCTCATCTGACACTCAGGACACTTTGCCTTGGATCGTAATACTAATAATAACCACCCCTCTCAGTGTCACTGATGAGAAGCTAGGCAGGCCCCAGGCTGTGTGCTTTCCATGGTTGTCAGTTTGAATCACCACAACTGGAGAAGTCAAGGATCTTCTCTATTTTATGAACAAGGAAATTCAGACTAAGATAGGTTAAAGAATTTGCCCAAGATCACACAACAAGTAAGGGGCAGAGCAGGGAGTCAAACCCATGATCTAGGTCTGTGCTGTCTAATATGGTAGCCACTAGCCACATGAGGCTATTGAGCCCTTGAAATGTGCCTAGTGTGACTGAGGAGATGGAATTTTTAATTCAATTGAGATGGGCTGCAAATGCAAAATATACACCAGATTTCGAAGACTTAGTATCAGACTATCTATCATGTATATACATATTTTTTTACATTGATTACATGTTTTACATGACAATATTCTAGATATATTGGGTTAAGTAAAATATATTAAAAATAATCCTCCTTATTTCTTTTAACTTTTTATTTTTTATTTTTATTTTTTTTTAAGATTTTATTTATTTATTTGTCAGAGAGAGAAAGAGAGAGAGAGAGAGCACGGGCAGGTGAAGCTACAGGCAGAGGGAGAAACAGGCTACCCGCTGAGCAAGGAGTCCGATGTAGGACTAGATCCCAGGACCCTGGGATCATGACCTGAGCCGAAGGCAGCCGCTTAACTGACTGAGCCACCCAGGTGCCCAGATTTCTCAAAGTTTTTGATAAAACTTTTTGAGCATTAATCCCCAATTTATGTATTTTTGTTTATTTATAAGTTATATACATTACACTACTCTATATATTATGTATATTATAAAACACTGACAAAAGAGACATTTTAAAAGATGAAATAGGGGCACCTGGGTAGCTCAGTCAGTTAAGCAACTGACTCTTGGTTTTGGCTCAGCTTGTGATCTCTGGTTATGAGATGAGCCCCAAGTAGGACACTGGGCTCATCACAGTTTGCTTCAGATTCTCTCCCCCTCTGCCCTTCTCCTCGAGCGGGCATATGCATGCACTCTCTCTCTCTCAAATAAATAAATAAAATCTTAAAAGAAAGACAAAATAAAAAATAGGCTGAAAAAGAAGTTGTACTAATTTCCTCCTGGTGCCTAATGGCTCACTTTGTGTACCACCAGGGATGTGCACACACCATTTTGGGAACTCCTACACCAGACTTAGAGCTCCTGAATGGCAAAGACTCTGTTAGGTCATGTATCTTCCCTCCCCCATTGTTGATCCTAGCATCATGCCTAGATAGAGTTGGTGCTCAATAAATGTTTGTTGCAGAAATAAATACAATAACATACAATCATTTTCTGGTGGATTGGATGTATTTTTTTATTTCACATGTATTGAATACTTTCTCGGTGCTGAAAAGTAAACAAAGTTTAAGACTCAGTCCTTTTCTTCTAGGCCAATGCTTCTCAAACTTCAGTGTGTAAGAATCACCTGGAGGGATTATGAAACAGATTCCTGTCCATGAGATTCGGATTCAGTAGACCTGGGGTAGAACCTGAGACTTTGCATGTCTAAGAAGCTTCTAGGAAATTACACTTTGGAGGAGACTGATATACATGGGGAAATTGGAAAGACATCCTAAATATTATGTGAGGATGGGGATAGGCAAAGAAAATTAACATATTTTGAACTTTTACTACTTGCCAAGAACTTTTAAATACATGACCTCATTTAATACTCAACTCGACCTGATGAGGCACACTTTATCTTCATTTTCAGTTGAGGCAACTGAGACTGAAGAAGGTTAGTTAAACTGCCCAAGTCCCAGAGCTAGTAAAGGGAAGAGTTTGGATTGGTATCCACCACCCCTGCACTCAATAACTCATGCAACTCCTTATTAAGTGTCTCCACCTTTTAGACACTGCTCCAGGAACTGGCCATACAGCATAGAGTGGACAGACAAGCTTTTGGTCCTGGTCAAACTCAGTAAATAATTAAAATATAGAGTTTTCAGCATTATGAGGGAGGCAGTGCAATGGAGATACATAACAGAGATAAATACTCTACAACAGAGTCAGGAAAATTTTTCCAGAAAAAAGAAAAAGGTAAAATTTATGTGAAAAGTAAAATTCATCTGAAAGGTAAATTAAAGGAGTAGAGGATAGGTGGGGAGTGTTTGGGGCCAAAGATATGCATGAAGCCTTGGAAGGCACAAACCATTTGTGGAACTGAAAGTTCAGAATGTCTGAAGTATAGAGGGTGAAGGTGATAGATAAGGTCATTGAGCAAGATGAGAACCAGATCAAGCAGGGCTATTACTGACTTTTTTCAAAGGTGGGGGCATGGTCAGACTTATGTTTTTAAAAGATTGCTATACTCTCAGTGGAGGATGGAATAGAGGCGTGCGAGCCTGCAGGCAGGGAGATGCGTTAAAAGATGCTAGTGACATAAATTAGGGTAATATTGTGATAACTGGGGAGAAAGGAGGGTGTTTAGAAGTTTTTAAAAGTGTTTAAAAGTTGATGACTGATTAGGAGTGGGCAGGCAAAGAGAAATCAAAGATGATCTCCAGGGTTCCGAGTGCACTTTTCATAAGGATAAGGTTCTGTGAGCTTATTATTTCATATTTTAAAAGAAAATTCAGATAAGTGAGGTTATGTGAAAGATGTTATTTTAGTAGGATTTCAATGATGAAAAATTAGAAAATACCAGAGAAAATTACGATCTTTGTGGTTAAGTTTATGATTTTTGTTGCTTTAGTTTGTATAAATACCCTTGTCATCCACTGAGAGTGGAGTGGTGAATGCTGGAGACATCACTTCTTTTTGCAAAGATCAGGATTAGCCATGGAGGACCAGCCATAGGCTATGAACTATGGGTCTTCTGAGTTTCTTCTGTGACTTCCTTGTTGAGTAACCTTGGACCTTGAGTTTCTGAAGTTCGACATCCCTTTTTGCTCCCCCTATTTCTTCTCCACACTTGATGACTTAAGAAGGGATAGGACATGGCTCCTATGAATGGACCAGCGACGATTTGGACTCCGCCTTCTTGGCCTCAGTCCCGCCCACTTTCCTTAGACCACACCCCTCCCCGTTGGCCCCGCCCCTGAAGAGGTCGTCGCTGATACGACAGCGAATTCTCCACAATCCTGACCTATAGGAGACCTGAAGGGTGGGACCGAGATCAATCTTTTTTTCCATTTGTCAAATCAAGTGTCTATCTGGCCCCAGTCCCAGCCCACTTCGTCTTCAAGCCAAGGATTGGTTGCTCTGGTCTTGGTCCCCGGCTCATGATTGGTTCTTTTATTCCACCCTCTCTTCCAGTTTTTGCGGGCGGGATTAGCACGCAGCTTCCTGCTCCTGCCAAAAAAATAAAAGAAGAAAAAGAAAAGAGGAGAGAGGCGAAAGAAAATGTCACGGAGATCTTTGGGTTTTAATTCGCTTTTAGTCTTGTCGGTCAGGCCAAACTCTGCCTTTTGATTGGTCCCTCTATCTGCCCATCCCGGATCGGGGGCGGGATTTCCCCAGGAGACCCACACCTTGTTGCCACTGGCCGAACAGTGCGCCTGTCTGAAGCTACGGGCCCAGGATTGGAGGCAGACGCAGACAGGTGGGCGTGGATTGGCTAGGGCGGCCGGTCAGAGCGAGGCGGGGGCGGGGCCTCGGTGGCTGGTTGCGCGTGTCCGCCGCTGGCTCCGCTCTATCCGGCTTTGCTAGGGGAGGTGAGTCCGGCCGCGGCGGCACCGGCGGCTGAGGAGGCGGCGGCTGAGGAGAAAGCGGCCGGCAGCGACTGAGGAGAAAGCGGCCGCGGGGACGGGAAGCCGGGTGGGGGGGAGGGGGGGGAGACGGAGCAGCCTTGAGCCCTGCGGGGGCCGTCGCGCGGGGGGACCCACCCGCTCTCCCCCCCAACCCTCCTCAGCAGAAGGAGCCGGCGGCGGGGGCAGGAGTCAGCCCGCTTCCGACTGCACCCCGCCCGCCTCCCGGGGCTCCTATTCTTTGGCCCCGGGACCCTAACCTCATCCCGGGGCGGTTCCCTCTGTCTGGGCGTCCGAGTGCTGCCCACCTCTCTTTCATTCCTCCCTGCACCTCCTTACCTTCACTTTGCCCCGGTTCTCTTTCTCCTCTCCGTCCTGCCCTGTCGCCTCCTCGGCTCACCCTATCCCTCCTGCCTCTTTCCCTGGCTCTTTTCTGTTCTGGAAAGTTTAGTACCCCCCTCCAATCAGGTCAACCTGACTAGGAGTAGGGGGAGATGTAGGAAGGCCTGAGAGTTCGAGGGGGGGAAGCTGGTTTCCCTGAAAATTTCCCCCCATCTTTTGAATTTGGGGTGGTTGGAATTTTTTTAAATTGTATTTTTGAGGAGGTGGTAGGTGTTTAGAAAAGGATGTGGGAATGGAAGGGGTAGATGAGTCAACCCTCTTACAAGATTCCAAGGGTGGCGTGTTACCTGATCCTTTTCGTGTGTGGAGTTCAGGGGGTCGGGAGGTTTGGCCTTTATTCCCACATTCAAAGTTGGAACCTCCCCCCAATTAAGGATGGAGTTTTAGTACCCACTTGTGGCAGGAAACCTGGGGGGAAGGGGTCCCTTTTTCCTTTTTCTTTTCTTTTTCTTTTTCCTTTTCTTTTCTTTTTTTGGCAGTCCACACCCTTCCACACACGCTCACCCCAAAACTAAACACCAAGATCCTCTAACTTGTTTGGATTGACTGATGAAGACATAAAGCCAGTTACGCTCCATGTTTTTTGAGGTGGAGTGAGTGGTTTTTCTTCACTTTTAAATGGCCAAATGACAGCTTGACCCAGTTTGCTTTCCAATCAAAGGGCATTTTTTTTGAATGTCTCTTTGTGGCGCAAGAGCCAACGCAAAAATGATGGCGGCTTACAATGGCGGTACATCTGCAGCAGCAGCAGGTCACCACCACCACCATCACCACCACCTTCCACACCTCCCTCCTCCTCACCTTCACCACCACCACCACCCTCAACACCATCTTCATCCGGGGTCGGCTGCCGCTGTACACCCTGTACAGCAGCATACCTCTTCGGCAGCTGCGGCAGCCGCAGCGGCGGCCGCAGCTGCAGCCATGTTAAACCCTGGGCAACAACAGCCATATTTCCCATCACCCGCACCGGGTCAGGCTCCTGGACCAGCTGCAGCAGCCCCAGCTCAGGTACAGGCTGCCGCAGCTGCTACAGTTAAGGCGCACCACCATCAACACTCGCATCATCCACAACAGCAGCTGGATATTGAGCCGGATAGACCTATCGGATATGGAGCCTTTGGTGTTGTCTGGTGAGTATCAAGAGAAGAACACAACTTCTCGTGGTTTCTTCTCACGGTTGTGATTGGGCGAGTCATCTGTCATGCTTTTCTCCATGTTGACCAGAGTGGAGCGACTCAACTGGAGGAAGCCACCCTCACCCAGAGGCCCAGTGTGTTGGCTGGCTGGGTTTATGCTTTCGAGTCCTGGCAAATTATGGGAGAACACCCTCTGAGGAGTCACACACATGTTTGCTGTCTACCGAACTTTTGGTTTAGAGCCTAAGCAAGCCACTGAATGTAGGATCATTAGGTGGATGTATGAAATGTGTATTCCTACAGACCTTGGTCATCTCTTAGGTTTGATGGAGTTTGAATCAGTTGCCCGATTGCAGCAGATGTTGCAAATGACCCAAACTTGGTTCCTTATAATAGTCTTGTCACTGGGTCATACTCTGCATAACTACTTTGCTCTCCTTTTTGCCTTTTCATTCCTTCATTTGTGATCTTGATCCCCAGAAGGAAGATAGGGTTCAAACTTGAACCAGTTAAATCGTTGCTTGAGTGGTTTATTTTAAACCATAAAGCTACAGTTGGGAAGTATGTAGCTTTAGCTTTTTGATAAGAAAGCATTAAATATAGCATCACACATGAGTACCACAAATGAGGTCAGTAGACTGTAGCTATGCCGTGGCCCACATTCGGTGTAATGTTTTAGTGTCATTTAGTGTCATTTAGTGCCTCTTAAGTTGCTGTTATCCCTTGGTTGGTTGCTGTAGTATACTTTTTTAAACATATGAAACTGCTTCACTTTGCTAGTGTTAGGGTATTTTAAAAAGTCTGAGCACTTCTTAAATGCCACATTTTGTCTATTTGCTCTTCTTAGTAAGATTAGTAGTTTATAATAAAATGAATTTATCATTGTAGGTCCTGTTGCTATCAAAACTAGAACAAACTGAATTTTTTTTCCTCAAGGTTTAAGTAATCTGGTGTTGACAAATGAATTGATGTTTTCAGTGCATTCAAAAATAGATTCTTGTTAATGTCTAGAAAAGCTCCCATCACCACAGGAAAATGAACTCTTTGGAATTAGCCTGGTAAATGTCTCCTTTTGTCATTGTTGTTCAGGCTATAATTGATACAAGTATCATGTTTGCGTTATATCTGGCCATCTTTATATTTCAGATTTTATAATCTAGACTACAAAGTGATCTGTTTTTGTTTTTGTTTTTGTTTTTAAACTAGTCGGGTCTAGTGTTTTCCCAGCTAGCTCTCCAAGGAGGTTGCTGCTGCAGTGCTCCCTTCAAGGTGTATGGGATTCCTGGTGGGAAAGAGTGTAGCGGTAGCTGGTAATGGTGCCTCTTCATCTGCTCAGGGACCTGTCTGTTCCTGCCTTCGTCTCTTCCATATTCTATCCTTAGGGATTGCACTGTGAACTTCCATTCCTTGCCTAACCCTTGAGGATTTCAAAGCTATGGGGCCTGGGGGGTGTGGACGGGAAAAAGGTTGTTCCTTGCATTAAATTTTGTCATCTACTGACTGAGAATTTGGATTTTCTTAGACCTGGATGCTCTCTTGCATTTTATTGCTTTACATACAATGCTAAGAACTAGAGCTACAGGAGGGGAAGTGGATTGCAGCATTCTTGATTATATTCTAAAACTGTTCTACATTTCTCTCAAATGATGATATGACTTGTAGAAGTTTTCACTTCAAGTCTGTGCTAAAGGAAAAGATTGTGTTTAAGGGGAAAAAGGCGAGGAACTGGAGTGCTGAAACATCTCCCACAGCAAGCATTCTGGTAGTGGCTATTCTGAAGTACTTACATATGAAAAACCTAATGGTTTTGATTTGAATCCATCCTAGATTCTTTTATTGATTGACGCCTTCCATCACAGGCAGAGTTTGTTCCTTGTACTTGAAGTGTACCTCCTTCTGTACACCATTTTCTATTGTACACCAGTTGTTTTGTGTTTGCCTCGTCTCACTACATTTGTAAGCCCCTTGAGGGTATGGACTGTCTACCAGAGTACATCTTTTTCTCCCCTGTGCTTAGCACAGTGCTGTGCAATCTTTGCTGTTTGATTACTTGATCTCCTGGTCAGGTTGTTCTTTCTTCTTTAACCAAGTTTTTCTGGTTAGCTGCATTGAGTGTTTTTAATCAGTTGTTACAGGTGAAGTACAATTCAGTATGAAAAAAGGAAGAGTTCCAGGTATGTGTTTTAGTATGCAAATGCTTTTCTATTTTTATATTTACATATTGATGACTTGCTGTCTGAATTGCTTATTATATTTGGAATTTAACTGCTATATGACCTGAGTAAAATTGTTAAAACTAGAGATTTGAACACCAAACCAGAGTGAATTGCACTAGTATTCTGAAACCCAAGCTAAAGATATTAGTGAGGTTTTTTATATATTAACTGTCTGAACCAGAATTTTTCTTTTTAATTTAGAGAATACCTAATGAACCTGAAACTATTTTCTAAAATGATTAAAATGGGACATAAAAATATTTTCCCAGTGATACATCATTCTATTAAAACACCATATGACTACTTGGGCATCATAAGATTCACTTAGATTCTTCTATTTGTTTAATGCATTTTGCAAGTATTTTTCTTTTGGCATGCTACACAAAAGGAAACTATTTGCTCTCATGTCTTTTTCTGGACATGCACCAAAATTACTGATGGCTGAAAACATTGCATGTAATTTTGAGAGATACTGTTTTTCCTCTGTGTAGACCCGGAAAGATATTTGCAGAAGTGGTATAGCATTTTACCAGTCAGATTTATCACTGAACAATTTAGTCGATTTATCTCTCTGCTGAATTTAACTAGTGGAATAACTTATCAGTATTGGACAGTCATGTAAAAGTAGTGAATTACCTATTAGCCTGCTGGTAAAGATGGTGCTTTGACAGTTCAATTAAGGTTTCATTAACAACTGTCTTCTGTGTTTTATCTCAAAGTAAGGGTTCCAGTTTACCTGGTAATATGATCATGAGGTAGCCTGAGATACATTCATTCCAATGATAGAATATTGTTCATGGGTTATCAAAGCATCATATATAATTTGACTTTCCTTTATCAGATGTCAAAGGCTTCAGATGCTCATAGGGACATTTTCATAATGCAAAACCAAAACACAAAACAACCCACAAACAGAAACCTCAGTCATTTGGTGAGGATAATATAAATATATATTTGTCCGTAGTTCACATTTGCCAGAGGAAAGTGAGTATGCAGTGCTTAAAAATGTGACAACCTCTGGGGTGCCTGGGTGGCTCAGTCGGTTAAGCGGCTGCCTTCGGCTCAGGTCATGATCCTGGGGTCCTGGGATCGAGCCCCACGTCCGGCTCCCTGCTCAGTGGGGAGCCTGCTTCTCCCTCTCCCTCTGCCTGCCGCTCTGCCTACTTCTGCTCTCTCTCTATCTCTCTGTCAAATAAATAAATAAAAATCTTAAAAAAAAAAAAGTGACAACCTTAGAACAAAGAGTATTACAGCATAAGGCTTCAGGGACTCACGAAGTGCATATTTTTGAGAGTTGGAGGAAGTTGACCACATGAGAGAGGTTTGAGGACTGCTAAACTCAGGCAGTTTTGACATTGACAACCTGAAATATTGATTGGATTAATGGCACATAGTGCCACCTTGATAATGAGTCTGGGAAAAGCTTCTACTTAAAATATAGTGTTTTGGTTTTTAATTTATCTGATTAATTGAAAGATCAAAGATCCTGGGGTTTGTTTGGTTTGTTCTCTTTGTACTCCAAGTAAAGTTGGAGAACTTTGAATTTTATTATTCTAATACCTTCAGCGGGTTACTTTTATGTCAGTCTTTCAAAACCTAAGCATCACTGTAGTGATACTTAGTTACTTACTAGCTGTGTCATCCTAATAAATTGTTTAATCTCTCTATTCCTCATTATAAAATGAGGATAATAATAGCACCTCTCCTAGGATTGGTATGAGGATTAAATGAGGTAATCTTTGTAAACCAATGATTACAGCATATAGTATACAGTAAGCATTCAGTAAATGTTAGCTGTTTTTTGTTTTATTTTTTGACAGAGGGGGACACAGTGAGAGAGGGAACACAAGCAGGGGGAGTGGGAGAGGGAGAAGCAGGCTTCCCACAGAGCAGGGAGCCCGATGTAGGGCTCGATCCCAGGACTCTGGGATCATGACCTGAGCCGAAGGCAGACGCTTAACGACTGAGCCACCCAGGTGCCCTAATGTTAGCTGTTTTTATTGTAGTTATTGTTGGTAGAAAAAACCTGTTTTGTTAATATATGCAGAAGTGGCTTCATGTATAGCCAGATTTATCAGGTGAAATCAACAACATGCAGACTATTTTGGAGGCATGACTTCAGATACCATAAAGTGCCCCTTAGTTGTGCTATCTATGTGCTATATATCTGCTATTAATTAATAATTAAAAACAAACACATTAAATATATAAAATACATGTTTGTATGGACTTGGCAGATGTTCTAGTCAGTTCATCTGCACTGTTTTAGAAAGTATTATGGATTTACATAGTGGGAAGGAAATTAATTTTTTCTTCTCAGAATGTAACAAATGAAGGACATTCTTATCGTCAAAGTTCAGCTTTAGTGGAAACTCATTTTACTTGTGTTTGGATGAAAGAGTGTGAATTGCTAAAGAAGATCCCAGTGAGGTGGGGGAAATATGTGTGTTTTAATGAAAAATTATTCAGTGTAAATCCTCATGCATGGCAGATATCATTTAGCTTGCTCATCTTGTGAAAATTAGAGGCATCATTTTTTTCTGATGTTTTTTTGGTCCTTTTACTCCTCAAATAGCCAACTTTAATTTGGAAAAATGGGGAATGCTTTTGGGATATGTTTGGGGAAAATCCTAGAGTTAGTTGCATCAGAAAGTACACTGGAGTGTATTCTGTTAACTGTGTTTTACAGGTTAAGAATTTGTAGTATTGAGAAGTTCCTCTATCAGTCAGGATTAACTGCCACAGCTGGATTCTTGGGGAGGGGGGTACTCTGCTTTG